CAAAATGTGAAAACGACTCTTGCGCCAAGCTGAAACTAGCAAACAACAATTGCGTCACGTCTTGCGCCACATTTCGCTGGGTGTATGATAGGGCCCTCTGAGTTCCACATGAGATTATCAATTAGCAAATAATATAAATATTACGAGAGTAAACATCAGGTGAGGAAGTCATATTGTAACCCCGTGTCCTAACAACACGCTACGTGACGAGATACACAGTGATGGCTGTTTGCACCAAACAAAACATGATAGAAATTTAAATACAGCCATTCAGAATTACAGAGAAGTCAACACAATCTCACGGCAATTCGTAATTTCTTGATTTAGTGGCTAATTCCTATGAATTTGTACGATCTAATTCGTACAATTTAGTACGATTTGCTCATCCCCCAATGACGGTTGGGTTTAGGGGTGGGGTAAGGTGCCATGCCTTCTTTTTAAAATCATACAATTTCATACGACTGAACTCCTACAAATTCGTATGAATTAGACACCAAACTGGCAAACGTAAAATACTTACGTTTTCTCGCGAGATTAGGCTGGAATAGTGCACTCACTCATGAAATGATAAGGTTTATCAACCACTGGATGTCAAACTTACATACTGCACCTTTAAAACTAATATTTATATATTATATATTATAAAAATATACAATCATTTCTCTTTTTAAATGCTTACTTTTCAAGACAAAATAAAGAAAAACAAGTAACTGACACTGTAATAATAATCTTTAAAATGATAATAATATTTTCCAATATTACTGTTTTCACAGCCAAACAGATGCAGCCAGCTTAAAACACACAAAACTATTCTAAAATTACAGTGTTTTCTTTTTTAAAATGCTTAATTGTTTAAAATATATCCCATTTTTTCATGCAATAAGCATCAGACAGATTTGTGGGAGTGCCGTCTGAGACTAATAGTCACATATAATACTTTTAAGGGTACAGCTATTCATTGAAACGTTCAATGTCAGGTATATAATAATGCTTCTAATTATATGACTACAGATTTACTCATCTTTTCTCCTCTCCATTGTCTACATGAAGAGGATTAAGATCTTGCACTCGCTCAATTAGCTTTGGCTTTTTAGGCTTTCGTCCAACGCTGCTTTTTCTCATTGAGCTTCGACCTGCGTGAAGCTTCCTGTCTCCTGAAGCCGAACAGGAAGCTTTGCTCACATGAGATTCTGGCTGGACTCCAAAACAGAGGCCTGTAGTAATGCTGTTGAAGGCGCTGTACAAGTTTTTGAGTCCTCTAAAGCATAAAAGGACCTTAATATGTTTGCAGATATTTAAGAAAACATTCTTGTTTATCTGAAAAACAATGCTGAAGTCAGTTATTCTCCTTTGAAAATGTGCTTTGAGTGACAACGTCTGTCTATGTTTTGATCTCTATAACCAGCCCACTGCTAGATTACCCGATTATATTTCAGCACCCCGGGTTCCTTGTTGGAAAACAGCGAATTTCATTTCTGTAATCTAAGCTGCACCAATGTTTACAGGCGCGGCTGAAATGGGACTTGCGGAGGACAGCAGCAGCCTCCAAAAAAAGTTGCAGATTCAGATTTGCAAAATCCATATTGAGATGGTTTTAATTGTGAATAATGTAAAGTTGCAATGTAAGGCTGGAGTCAGATATGCTTGCTCCTGTTTGTGTTGTCAATCTGGCAACCTGTGTTTTCCTTGTGTCTGAGGAGGAGGTGTGAGGTGAAAAAAACAACACCCCAGGCTCATTCTTAAAACGTACCTCTATATACATTTCTGGAGAGTGCCAAATACGTCCCAGGAGCTTTGTTTTTTTCAACCCAAGCTCATTCTGAAAATGTAGCCCCGCGGACGTTTCTGGAGACCGCAATTTAAGTGGCCGGAGGTACATATGGCTGCATTTCGTTTTTTCAAGCGAACGCTACGGAGCGGTGTGACGTCGCTCCTCTTCACGCTCGCCGGCTGGGCTGATGGCTCGCCTCCTCCGTGTGGAGGGCTTTCCCCACCTTGACCAGTTTGTCTGGTTAGCTTGTCGTGTTATGTCGGCGGAGCGGAGCGGAGCGGAGGCCTGGAGGAGGACGACGAGCCGACAGTGTTTGACGAACCAGGTTCGAGTCCGGGGAAGAGCGATTCCAGAAATCAGGTAAGACAAACAACAGAATCCAAAAAATAAATCGAACGAGTTCGTAATGAGGCGAGAATGCGGTGAAATTCGAAAATACGGTCAAAATCGGATGAGGGCTGTTCTTTTTCTGCACGGCTTTTGTAAATCGTTGCTTGGGTTTAGGAAAGAAGGAGGAGGGTAGCCGGGTCGGCCGATTGGCCAGCCGCCCAGTCAATCTTTCAGTCATTCAGCCAGTCAGTCAGTCGGAAAGTTGGTCGCTTGACAGCGGCCTCCGGCTGAACAGTGCGGGCGCGAGAGATTTTCTAGATGCAAAAAGCACGCACAGCGGCTTCTCATGGATTCGCGAAAACAAAAACTGCACAAATACTTCCCGGGACATAAATCGCGGTCTCCAGAAACGTCTACGTTTCCAGAATGAGCCTGGGTTGTTTTTATTTTTTTTGCAGTTTTTGTTTTTGCAAATCCACCAGAGGCCGCTGTATATGCTTTTTTATATCTCAAATTTCTCTTACGAGTGCCATTTACGCCTGCTGTTCTCGTGTAAATCCATCAGAGGCTGCTGTTGACTGACTGTTTGACTGACTGAATGACTGATCGATCGACTGACTCTTCCTCCACCTTCCCTAAACCCAACCAATTGTATTGATTGACCCACCCTCCTCCTCCCCTAAACCCAACCAACAGTGTTTTCAAAAGCAATCCAGAAAAAGAAAAGCCCTCACCTGATTTTTACCTCGTTTTCAGATTTTATCACATTCTCACCCTGTTATTTACTTGTTTATTCATTTTTTTGCCATTTGTTTTTGTCTTACCTGCTTTCCGGGGTTCGTTCTTTGTACATGGATTACTCAATTAGCTGGATTTGGATATTGATAATTTGAGACGATCCAGGATCGTTTAGTTCTTCAAAATCTGAGACTTGTTGTCATAGCAACAGTTCTGGTAGCTCAAACCTGCTAGGGAGCAGGCTAATTTCATATAAACAGGATTAGATCTGGGTCAGTTCGAGCAAAGATAATACTGAAAGTATGTACCGAATGCTGATATTTTTTTACAGTAGTTATATACACTTGGGAAAATAGTAAATATGTTTACATATATTTTTTTAACTATATACATAAAGTTGAAAAATATATATTGATAAAACTTATGCAGTCTGCACTCTGAAATAAAAGTACAAAGACCGCCACCTGCTGGTTTAAAGAGAACATTTATTGATATGAACTTTTTAGGTTATATCTAAAAGAATAATGTTCAACTCCTGACAAGCTTGTTATGGTCAAGTCATTAAAATATAAAGCAAAATAAACATCCCAGACTTTAAAATAAACTCCTCTTATTGTTTCAGATGTTTATTGTTTGTTTGTTTATTGGCTTATTATCGACTTATTAAAGGGATCGTTCACCAAAAAAGAAAAACAAAAAACTAAATACAAACATTATATTCGGAAACTGTTAACCATCGACATCCATACAGAAAAAACTATTATATGGAAGTCAATGGCTTCCGGTTTACAACATTCTTCAAAACATCTTCTGCAACATATCCTAAATATATGATCAGTTTTATCTATTTTCAGTTTTTTGTGACTCAAACTGCTCTGAAACTGGGTTGGTAAATGACAGAATATTAATTTCTAGGTGAACTATCCCTTTAATATGCAAGGCCTAGGACTATCTAAAAGAATATTCGTTAAAAGCATCTGACCGGCTTGTTGTCAAGTCATTAGAAAATGTAATGCAAAATAAACATTCCTGACTTTAAAATAAGCTCATCTTTTAGCTTGAGATGTTGTTGTTTATTGGTGTGTTATTATTGTGGACTTTGGAGCAGAGTTTTCGTGCTCTTCTAACAGCCCAGACATCATAATCTCATCTTTTTACTTCAGATGTTCAATGTTTGTTCGTTGTGAACCATCCCTTAATTATGCAAGTCATAGCTATATCCAAAAGAATATTCATGTTAAACACCTGACAGGTCTGTTATTATGAAGTCATATTTTTGCTTCAAATGTTCAGTGTTTGGTTTGTGTTTATTAGCTTATTATCAGCTTATTTAAAGGGATAATCCCAGCCTCCCCTCTAAAAAAGCTTAAAAAGAGTACCATTTTTTCTGTTGAATACAAAAGACGTTGGAAACCCGTAACCATTGACATCCTTATATAAAGAAACAATTCTATGGAAGTCATCTGCAACCAGTTTCCAACATTCTGAAAAACATCTTCACCAGCATATCCTATAATTTTGTGTCTCAAACTGCTGTGAGACTGTTTGGTGTGATTTTTTGTTCAATTTAATATGCAAGTCATTGGAATATCTACAAGAATATTAATGTTAAGCACACCTGACAGGCTTTTTGTCAAGTCATTAAAAAATTAAATGCAAAATAAACATCCCAGATAATTAAATGAACTTTTCTTTTTGCTTGAGATGTTCAGTGTTTGGTTTGTGTTTATTAGCTTATTATCGACATATTAGAGGGATAATCCCCCTTTTTTTTGACTTTGGTGCTCTGCAAACATCCCAGACTTTGAAATCAACTCATCTTTTTGATTCAGATATTCAAGGTTTGGTGTTTATTGGCTTATTGTCTACTTATTAAACGGATAATTATACATAACCTGTATTGAACACATCACAGAGAGCTGTGAGTGACAGTATATGTTTAGGTGAACTATCTCTTTAATATGCAGGCTACATCTAAAAGAATAAACTCCTGACAAGCCTGTTATTATCAAGTCTTTAAAATATTATAATGCTAAATTAACATGCCAGACTTAAGGGCAAACTCATCTTTTTGCTTCAGATGTTGGTGCTTATTGGCTGTTATTATTGCAGACTTTGGAGCAGAGTTTTCGTGCTCTGCTCTGCTCCACTGCAGCTCCACCGCCCACCGCGCACTCAGTCCCCGCGTTTGGACGTCGACAGCACCGGACAAACAGTCTCCGTTTCTCCTCCGGTTTTACAGCTCTGACCGAAGTGACATCCACGTCTAAATTTACCGCTAATCTTCATGGGCAAGGTGTGGAGGCAGATGTACCCCCAATATACCTACTATTACCCCCCTTACCTGCAAGCTAAGGTACGGAAAGATCAGTTTTACCTCATGCTTGATATCGATTTTGTTGATTTCGGTGCTGTTGTGTCGTATGTTGTAGCATACATACAGTAGAAGCTATGCTAGTAGATTTCTCGATTTAGCGCTGGTGTAAGTTTGTATCGTACTTGAGGGGTTTTTCGGGCGGACATTTTAAATAGCTTTTTTTCTTATCAAGATGTAAACAGTCAAATCCTGATAACATTATAAGCACCAGTCGTTGCTGCTTTGTATGTAGAGCTGGGTTAAACTCTTTGTTGTCGTCGTTTTTTTTTTCTGGCGTTGTTAAATGTTTTGTTCGTTTTCTCGGCCAGTGAATTCCTGTGACATGACATATCGCGCTCTGGCTGAAGCCAATCTCTGAACTGTGAGAATTTGCTCATTCATCACACTACTTCTGGATTATTTATTAACGTTATTATTGTGTTTTGGTGCACAAAATGAGCAGTGTTTAATTGTACAGAGGCAGAATACGTTGTTTGCCTTACATTATCATCAAGTGGACGACTGGCAGTGGGTGAAATGGATGGTGATTTTGCATGATTTTTATTATGTTATAAAAGTCAGATTTGCTCAAATTAACACGTTTTTAATGTCCTAAATGTCTGTATTGCTATAATATGACGTGTAGAGCAGGATAGTTAATGAATAATATGTGTAATAGTCAATCAAAATCAATTAAAAATTAAGAAAAACTTAAATGAGGTTGAATTATACACTGTAAAAAATGTTACTTAGATCTAACTTATAAAAAGTGAGGCAAGTGGTTGCATCGGACGTTTTAGGTTGATTCAACTTCCAGCCTTTTTTAAGTATTTTAAACACTAAAACATTGCTTAAAACAAATGCAATAAAATTAAGTTGAGCCAAATAATATTTCTAAAATTACTCAAATCAGATAAACTTACTTTTTTTGTTAAACTTAACTTACTTATACATTGCTATATGTTGACTGTACTCATTTTAATTAAGTATTATGAACTTAATGATCTAAATAAAATTAACCATGCATATGTCATTTAAAACGAATTTAATTGACTTCTGGCTGTAACCTCAGAAAATAAATCGGCGTTTCTATATTGTAAGCACAATATACACTAGTAAACACAGATAAACAGACTTTCCTGTCAATAACAATTAAATAAGAATGGGAAGATGGATTAAAGACCATAACATGTATTCAATATCAATCAATGTTCCTTTTAATAGTGACTACAAAATAGGCCATTAATGTGGCTACACGTACACAATACATAAATAAAAACATTAATAATACCAGATCCTATTGAGAAATCATCCAAGGCAACTCAGTGAGGAGATTTGCATATTTTGATGAAGATTTTGGATGCATAATGTCCAGTCCCACAAAGAGTCTCTAATACATCTTAAATGTATACAGTTTTGATGGATACTTGAAGTCGAGGACATCGGTAAGTCCAAACAGGAGCCATCATGCATTTGACAGGTTTGGCAAACCTCTGACAGTCCTATGATAATCCAAACTGTGTTGGGCTGATGGCAAATTTTTCCCGTGGGCAGCCGCATGCACCTCTGATTCCTCACAACTCTATTGGTAGAGACAAAAAGAAACAGGAGTTCAGGTGGTTGCTACCAAACAACATTAAATAGCTAAATACTGAATAGGAAATAACTACAAGTGAAGTTACAAAAGTCCAGTGAGAATGATGCATGGATGAAACACCTTAGTTTATCAGTTAAAAATTACCTTAGTTAAAATTACCTAACTTCTATTTAAAAAATAAAAAAAGGTTATAGAGGTTGTGTAATTACATTATTCCAGGTGTTTTTAGTTATCAAATTTTAAAGAAAACTGTGATTTTACTCAGTGTAACAGTGCATGTCATTGTGGTTTCCTGTCAATCACAGAATTGTTAAAATTTAGCATAAGAATGTGTATTTAATTTAGATATTAAAACTGTTTGAAAACGGCTATAAGAAAATTATAGAATACAAATTCTATAATTTAATTGTCATCTTCATTTTGCACCAAACGTTGCACGTCATAATACAAATTTTATTAAATAAATAAATAAATACATTGCCATTTTACACATTACATTAAGGTTTACATTAAATTTTTGCTAAAGCTACATTTAATTGACTTTTTCTTCAAATTTAATGTCACTGGCAAATGACAGTTCAGTGATTCAGTTATCAGTTAGCTTTATTGAAAGACTGACAGATAATAAGAAACTGCATTAGGATATTTTTATACTGTTTTTACTGTTGCACACATAAAAAAAATCTTCAGATATCAAATGTAAGTTAATTCTATGGAGCCCACTATTGTTTGCAATTTTACCAATGTTTTACTTACCTGCAAATAATTATAGCTGTAGTTGTATCTAATGTTTTTCTTACCTGGATGTGAAGTTTGAAGATCCACAGGTAACAAAATCACTTTGGTATCTAAAGACCAAGAACATGCATTTTAGAATGAGGTGCATACAATTTAAATGGTTCTGTAAACATCAGTAGTAAATGTAATTTAAGTTAAAATAAATTGTAAATCTGTAATTTATTCACTATGCAGCATTAAAAAACTTATGGACTAAATCTCTAAAACACAAACTTTAAGTTATACTTTCTCTTACGTTAAACACAAACTACTTAACTGTTGCATACGTTTCTGAATTTAATACCCATCCTTAATGTGCTGCTATAACTTAGGTGAGCTAACTTTAGCTATGTTAGCGCTAACAAACTGAACCCCCACACCCCGACCGCCCACCAGTGACCTTGTTAATCGGTTCTGCAACGTTAGTTTTACCTACTAAGTGTTTTAAAACTACTTTCACTATTTTTCTCAATAATATCACTTTTAATCGTTAGTATAAACTAGCGTTGGTTAGCGTTAGCCAACTTAGCTTTCCATGTGAGAGCAGTCTAACTGTTAACATACCTGAGGCTACAGTACAATTTACAAAGCTAAAACCTCACCTGCCTAGCGAAGACAGCAGTTTTGCATGACTTTACAATTATCATTCGGCTAAATTTGCAACTTACCGTGTTAATCAGATCCGCTGCTGGGAGCAGTTAATGTCGACCATTGCAGAAGCTGCGTCTGCCTGCTAAATCCCGGGCAATGAAAAAGGAGTCACGCCAAACTATTAAAATCACGTTTTATGAACACCTGCCCACATCGACAGCTGCTCTAATAAATTGTCTGTGTCAACTCACTTTTATAACATTTATTCTACACAATAACCACGTAAAAAAATCTACTCAAATAAATTGCATTAGTTTTATTTAAAATATACAGTTATATAAAAACTGATATATTTTAAGTAAAGAGGAAGCAAATTTTATTTTTTTGGTATAAAACAAATAAAATTAACTAGATTGCAATTATTTAAAGTAGATAGAACCAACTTTGTGAGTGTAGCACTTTTTACAGTGTATACATTGTCATTAAGTGGACGATTGGTAGTGGAATGGGTGGTGATTTTAGCAGACATGTTATTATAGTGTTATAAAAGTCAGATTTGCTCAAATGAACACATTATTTGTGTCATAAATGTTTGTTTTTCATGATGTGTACAACAGAATAGTTGATGGTTAATTCTGATAACTGTTTAATAACCTGTGTAATCACCAACTAAAATGAAGTAAAAGTTAGAGAAACTTTATTAAGGTAAATTAATATTACATACATTGTCATTAAGTGGATGATTGGTAGTGGTTAAAATGGGTGGAGATTTAGCAGAAATTGGATATAATACTGTTATAAACGTTTGATTTGCTCGAATGAACATGTTTTTTATGTGCTAAATGTTTGTTTTGCAGTAATATGATGTATAGAACAGGATAGTTGATGGTTAATTCTGATAGCTGTTTAATAACCCGTGTAATCGTCTAACGAAATGAACTCAAAGTTAAGAAAATGTAGTTAAGGTTAAATTAATATTATATTGTCTATAAGTGGACGACTGACAGTGGCTGATATGGTTGGTTATTTAGCAGAAATAGGTTATAATACTGTTATAAAAGTCAGATTTGCTCAAATGAAGACTTTCTTTATGTCCTAAAGGTTTGTTTTGCTGTAGTGTGAGGTGTAGTGCAGAATAGTTGATGGTTAATTCTGATAGCTGTTTAATAATCTGTGTAATCGTCAAACGAAATGAACTCAAAGTTAAGAAAACGTAATTAAGGTTAAATTAATATTATATTGTCATTAAGCAGATGACTAACAGTGGCTGAAATGGGTGGTTATTTAGCAGACATAGGTTATTCAATTCAGCTTTTTTTGTATAGCGCTTTTACAATGTCGATTGTGTCAAAGCAGCTTCACATAAATGGTCATAGTAACTAAATCAGGGTAGTTCAGTTTTTAGTGTTTAAGTTCCCTTTAGTTTAGCTCAGTTGAGTGTGGTTTAAAATTGTGGTTATATTATTGTTATAAAAGTCAGATCTGCTCAAATGAAGACTTTCTTTATGTCCTAAAGGTTTGTTTTGTAGTAATATGAGGTGTAGATCAGGATAGTTGATGGTTAATTCTGAAAACGTAGTCCAGCAGACGTTTCTGGAGACTGTGAAATACGTTCCATGAGGTACGTATTTGTGCAGTTTTTGTTTTTCGCGAATCCGCGAGAGGCCGCTGTGCGCACTTTTTCGTATCTCGATTGTCTCTCGTGAGTGCCGTTCGTGCCCGCGCTGTTCTCGCGTCAACCCAGCAGAGGCCGCTGTCTGACCGACCGCATGATTGACTGCGCGACCGGCCAATCAGCTGACCCACCCTACTCCTTCCCTGAACCCAACGATTGACCCGCCCGCCTACTCACTTCCCTAAACCCGAGCAACAATTTAGAAAAGCCGTCTAGAAAAAGAAAACCCTCGTCTGTTTTTTTTTCTTTTAACCACGTTTTCGGATTTCACCATGTTTCACCCTGTTATGAACTCTAAACCTGTGTTCGCTTTATTTTTTGGATTCTGTTTTTGTCTTACCTGATTTCTGGAACTGCTCT